GCTTAGCAACAAGGCATCCCCCGGCAGTGCTGGAGACGCAGATTCTATCCCCGGGTCAGGTAGATCCCCTGGAGAAGGAGGTGGCAACCCACTTCAGTATTCTTGCCCGGGAGATCGCATGGACAGAGGAGTCTGCCGGGCTGCGGTCCCTGGGGTCTTAGCAGTCTGACACGACTTAGTACTAAACCACCACCAACAGCCCTACTGTGCCCTGGTGCACTATACAGCAAAGGACACAGAAGCGCAAGCACTTAGAGAGGATGCAAGCACGTGACAGTGTACACCAGACAACGAACTCACTTTCGTAAACGTACGTTCGTGCCTTTAGTTCACAACATGAAGCTTCATATGTAGGGGACTTCCTGTAATGTATTCCCAGAACTCTCCTATCTTCTGCTCAAACCCAGAACTACAGCTGTATTCCTGCAGCGGGGTTTGTAATTTCTCAACTTCTTCCAACTTTAATTCAAAATATCTCTGCATCTCCACCTTTTCTAACTCCTCTTCTTTTGGTGTGATCATAACTGTCCTTCCTTCTGTCCATGGTTGACTTCTGTATTTTTATGCTCTGCCCTGGTTCCTACACTCCACAACCCTGGACCTTCAGTTGCCCTCTCTGAACAGTATTGCTTTGCTGTTGCTCTTTAATAATAACTATAAAATAGTTTAGATATTCAGAAGCATAGAAATAATATAACAATCACTAGTGTACCTGTCACCTTACAAAGTGAAGCTCCCTGTGTCTCTCTTTCCAATCCAATTTACCTATCTTCCCCATTGCACTTTAAGTTCTTCAAAAATAACACCCAAACAATTTTTTTAAAGTAAATAATGCACCAAAGCTTATAATAGAAAACCATTGTTCCGCAGGCCAACCCCCCGTCCTTAACCATTGCAACCCAAATGTAGGAGTTTCAACTCACTTAGTTCTCTTTTACAGTTGTTACCTCTATATTTCAATATGGCATGCTTATATTGGTGCTTGTTTCTTTTCTTATTCGGAATAACTTTACTGACTCCTTCCTATGAAATGTAAAAATAAAAGGTAAGGACTTTCCTGGTGGTCCAGGGACTAAGACGCCACACACCCAATGCAGGGGCCCAGGTTCGATCCCTGGTCAGGGAACTAGATCCCACATGCTGCAACTAAGATTCTCAGGCCGCAATTGAAATCTCCTGGAAATGCAGTAGAGCTCCATGACTGCCCTGGCATCTTCCACTGAGTTGTGTCCCAGGACACTGTCCCGCACACACGGCACAGAGAGGGGACAGGGGGCTGAATCCAGGCACCATGGGACCCGGGCCTTCCCTGTTCACATCCTGACATCCAGGGCTGAAGTGGGTCAGGGGTGAGTCTCCCAGGCCCCTGACACCCTGGACTCGGCAGGTGTCTGGAGCAGGCCTGGCTTCACCCATGAGCCCAGGCCCAGGCAGGGCCAGGCACAGAATCCAGGTCCTGAGGCCGGGTGTGCCCTCCAGGGGCTCCCAACTGCTGGGTGGAGGCGGGGCACTGCAGACTTGGCCTCAGACCCAGAGGGGCTGGAGCAGTTCCCACAGGAGCCCAGGGGTGGAGAACATGGACAGAGATGTTTCTACAGTGCTCCTTGCTCAGCAGGTTGAGAACAGGGCTCTTCAGTGAGTCTAGGAGCTGACATTCTGTCCTCAGTCACTGATGCCCCAAGCCCTACAAAGGGGCCCAAACTCAGCCCCGTCCCTCGCCTCCTGCACATTCTTGCTCCCCAGACAAGCTGCCCTCCACTCCTCGGGCTGGGGCTCCAGATCTCCCCTCCCGGGCCCTCTTCTCGTGTTCTTTTCTGCTAAGACACACCCTTCACCCTCCACTCAGACGTACTCCCCATCCTCCATCTCTGCTCAGGACACCTGCTCTCCCTCTGTGGACACGCCCCGCAGATGTGCTGATGGTCCAGTCATGGCTCTACCTCCCTTCAACCAAAAGTTTCTCAAGGACTAGCCTGGCATTGCTCACTTGGGTCTTCAGCCTCTGGTCCAGCCTGGCCCCAAGCAGGTGCTTCATAAACATCCTCTGAACTGGAAGCACCATGTGTGGCTGCAGCTCCCAGTGTCCAGCCCACCTCCCTAGGCCCCTCCACTGCAGTGAGCTCCAAGCCCCAGCACATGGCTGCCACTTCTGTGGGGCAACGGAAAAGGGGGCCTGTGGGTTTGAGTTCAGGGTCCTTCTCTCATTTTTTTCAAATGTTTCTCATTGGCTATCTGCCACTTTCCTATCTGAAGAATTCCAGAGGCTTCTCTCTAAGTGACTGTTAGTCCCCTGGGTACGTGTCAACAATGGCTTTCTACTGAGGTTCATATAGTTAAAGCTATGGTTTATCCAGTAGTCATGTATGGCTGTGAGGGTTGGTCCATAAGAAGGTTGAGTGCCAGAGAATCAGTGCTTTAAAACTGTGGTGCTGGAGAAGACCCTTGAGGGTCCCTTGGACAGAGGAGTGTGACCAGTAAGTCCTAAAGAAAATCAACCCTGAATATTCATTGGAAGGACTGATGCTGAGGCTGAAGCTCCAATACGTTGGCCACCTGATGCAAAGAACTGACTAATTGGAAAAGACTCTGAAAGATTGAAGGCAGGAGGAGAAGGAGAAGACAGAGGTTGAGATGGTTGAACAGCATCACCAACTCTATGGGCATGAGTTAGAGCAAGCTCTGGGAGGTGGTAAACGACAGGGAGGCCTGGCATGCTGCAGTCCATGGGGTCGCAAAGAGTTGGACATGACTTAGCCACTGAATAATAACAATGACCCTGCAATCCCAGTCCTGGGCATATATGCAGAACTGACTCATTGGAAAAGACCCTGATGCTGGGAAAGATTTAAGGCAGGAGGAGAAGGGGACGACAGAGGATGAGATATTTGGAGGGTACCACCAACTCGATGGACATGAGTTTGAGCAAGCCCTGGGAGTTGGTGATAGAGAGGGAAGCCTGGTGCGCTTCAGTCCATGGGGTTGCAAAGAGTCAGACATGACTGAACAACTGAGCTGAATATTCATTGCAGCACTGTTTACAGTAGCCAAGATATGGACGCAGCCTAAGATGTCCCTGTCGCAGCCCTGAAGCCCTATAGGCCCCTGTTCTCCTCTCTCAGTTCCAGTCCAGTCCCCTCCTCCATGGGAAGATTGCTTCCATGCCTGCATCCCTTCTGGGTCAGAAGACCCCTACTGGGCTTCCTCAGGGCCACTGGGACCCTGGAATTCCCCCCCGCCCCGGTCATCTCCACTCTGTCCCCCCTTACCCCTGCCCCTGTCCTGGGAGCATCCTCAGGGCTGTCCCCTCCCAGGGATCCTGCAGGGGCCTCCTCTTTCAGCTTCTGCCCTTAAAAGGGGGCGATCATCTGTCCACCCCTATTCCCTCCCTGAGATGCCTTGAAAGGCTCCCCATCAGCATCAGACACAGCATCCTTGTTCATTTCCAATCCCTTCTTCCCTACTTGGAACCTGCTCACCAGTCTCCCAGGCCAGGAGCATCCTGCTCAGGTAGGACTTCTCCTAGATCTTTCCAGACTCCACCTCGATGGCAGCTTTGGAGCCCAACACTGTGTTAATTTATTCTATGGTTCCTCAATGATGCCCCACCTTGGAGTCATGCTGGGTTGGGGTCTCCCTTCCTCAACGAGGAAGCATCACATGTGAAGGCAAAAATGGGTGGAGGGGATTCACAACAGTCCCTACTCCCATGTCATCCTGTCCCCACGGTCTTGCCCTCACCCCATGCCTCCTCCCTGCTCACCCCTGGAGCTGCCCTCCTCTGGGTGGGGCTGTGTCCCTCAGACGGCAGCACCTTCTAGTGATGCTGCGGGGAGGTGAGGCTGGGACACACGTGCCTTCAGGTTGCTGAGGAAGGAGGCTGTGACTCTGAAGGCGTGTCCTGTATCCCAGAGCCACAAGCTTCGGTCCTGTTCTCCCACCCACGGGCCCTGCTGACATGTCAGCTGTAGAGCAAAGTGTTCAAACTCACAGCTTTGGCATTTCCATATGGGGTTCCCACTTCCAACCTTTTGACCTTAGGGAAGGCACTTGATTCACCAAGCCTTAGTTTTCTCATCTGTAAAATGGAGTTAGCAGCACAATCCACAGTCCCTTTTCTGAAACCCGTGGGGTCAGATACTCTTAGGAATTCAGAATTTTTCAGCTTCAGACAGGTGACATGGTACATCTACTCTCTATGACATCAGATCCCACTGGGATCTGAAAGCACCTTGTAATCAGACACATCAGTGTTTCTACAACTGAACTTTTGAATAGTCACAAGTGAAACAACAAAGATCATAACTTGTCTCATGTGTCTTCAGGTCAGATTTTGTTGAAAAACAATTTTTCAAATATTTCTTTTCAATTTTGAAATATTGAGGGTTGAGACCTGAAGGGTTGGTATTAAGGATAAGGACCATCTACCCTGTGTCTCCATAGATAATGGCACACACAGCCCACAGAGATACAAAAGGTTCATGTTTGAGGCCAGACCCAGCCCAGCTATGAGGTTTGGGATAAGACAAGTCTCCTGAAGTCAAGGGTGATGGGTAGGGAGAATCATTCTGGAGTGGCTGTGGTCGTGGTGGTGGTTTAGTCGCTACTGAGACCCCATGGACTGCTGCCCACCAGACTCCTCTGTCCATGGGATTTCCCAGGCAAGAATACTGGAGTGGGTTGCCATTTCATTCTCCCAGGGATCTTTCCAACCCAGGAATCAAACCCGTGTCTCCTGTATCCCCTGCTCTGGCAAGTGGACGCTTTACCACCGAGCCACCAGGCTGTTACCCGAGTGTTTGGGCCACTGGTTCAAACTCCACAGATCCAGAGCCTCAGCCATCACAGGGCCCTGAACCTTTTCCAGGCATCTGACTTTTTCCACCTCCAGAGCTGGATCTTTCTCTGATGGGTCCTCAGTGAAGACCACTGCTGTCCTGGTGACTGTGACCTGCCTGACCATCACAACACCATGTCCACCCGGTGGACATCCCCGGACCCAGACGTCATGGCCATCATGTGCCTCTGCCTCCGCCTGCCGCAGCTGTTCTCCATGTGTGTGGCCATCTCCCTGGTGGCCGGCAGGGCCACTGAGCGGGAAGCCGTAGGAAACTGGTCCATGTCCATCTGGTGCTTCTGTTTTGCCATGACCCTCATGGTATTCATTGTTGAGTTCTATGGGTTCCATTCCCACGTTCCGTTTTTCTGGTTCAACTTCTCCGTGACCTATGCCTGCTATGCCACCCTCCTCTGCCTCTCAGTCTCCATCACCTACTCCATCACCTACGTCCAGTTTCTGCCTGATGGTCCTTACCAGGACCGGGTCATCGCCGCCTCTGCCTTCTCCTGTGTCACATCAGTGCTGTATGCCATAGATGTGGCCTGCACGTGGGTTGCCTATGGGTTCAAGGAGATCCCCTGCTATGTGCACACCATGCCAGGCTTGCTGAAGGTGCTGGAGACCTTTGTGGCCTATGTCATCTTTTCCTTCATCATCAACACCTCCCTGTACCTGCACCAGCTGGCCCTGGAGTGGTGTGTGGCCGTGTACTCCATCTGCTTCATCCCAGCAGCCCTGGCCATCCTGCTGAACCTGGGTGAATGGGAATACAGGCTGCCCAGACCGTATCCCATTTTCCAGCTTGTGCTCACCCTGCTCTCTGTCCTCCTCTACATCAGTGCTCTGGTCCTCTGGCTGCTCTACCAGTTCTACGAGGAGTTCGGCGTGCAGCCTCAGAGGTCCAGTGATGGGGACTGCAGGGACGAGCTCACCTACGACATGTGCACCTGGGACCAGCGACTGGCTGTGGCCGTCCTGACAGCCATCAACTTGCTGATTTACATGGCTGACCTGGGGTACTGGGCCCGCCAGCTCTCTGTAGGGACTGAGGACCAGCCCAGGGACTCCTGATCCTCTGCTCACAGGAGGTATCCTCACTGAGCTCTGGTGTTCTCTGATGCCCTCTTCCTGGCTCTCTCTCCGGCCTCACATCCTTCCCCATTCATTTTACTCTCTTTTCTGTTTCCTTCTCTCCTTCTACTCTGTTTCCTTCCTGCTTACTGTAGTTTGCCACATCCTGTTTTGCTTCTTTCTCTCATCTTTTCTACATTTTCTGCTTTTTGCCCCTTTTCTGGTCATCCTTGGTTTTCTCGTATCCTGTGTCCTGATCACCTCTCCCCATTTTCCTTCTTCTGATCCATCAGGACCTGATGCTCCTTCCTTCTCTGCCCACCCCACGCCCGCCCCCCGCGTCCTAAGGTGCTGACTCCACAGCACACAGCCTTCTGTGTGATTCAGCCCCCCATCTCCCATGGGAGGGGAGTGTACAGGGCACCTTCACTTTCATTTAAACTAAAATTTCTGGAGGTCTATAATTTTCAGTGGCAGGAGTCTTGAAAGCAGAGACCCTGGGTCCCTGGGTCCCACCTGGTGGTCCAGGTCGGGTGCTCCAGCCCCACTTGAGGTTGGTTCCAGAATTTTTTCAGGCTCACTAAACACTTGCTGCCTAGAGGCCGTCTTAGAGGAAGCCAGGGGTAGATACTGTCCATCCCAGCTACTCTCTGGGGAATCAAAGTAGGAGCTGGTGAGGTAACACAGAGACTCACAGACAGCTGTCTGCAGTGTTGGTGAGGGGCAGCGATGTGGCCCTCCCGCCTCAGTGATCAAAACAGCAGGTCCTGCCTCTGCAGGGAGAAGAGCATGGCCACTGCAGCCTTAAGGTGACGTTAGCCTGGGAGTTTTTTTCTTTTCTTTTTTTGCTATCTTCTGGTCAGGAGGGCAAAAATGAACTGGGTGACTCTGTCCTTAAACGGGAAATTTCTGTTTAAGTTCTCTTGGGCAGGTTTCTTTGTAGGGAGTGGGGGTTGCTGCTTCCATTGTCAAAGAAACTGCATTGCTAGAATGTGAGAGGGCACACACGTGTGTGTTTCTCTGTGCTGACCACTTTCTGCTGCAGCTTCTTGATTCTCTGGGACTCAGACACAACGTGATCTATAAAATACATATAATTTAAATTTTTTTCTGGAGCTTCTGGTTCCCAAAGATCCTGCTGTCAATTGTAGAGAAAACCCTCACCCCTTCTCCATTTATAATGTCCTTTTTAACCTCAGCATAAAAATGAAAGAAAATATAACCCCCCACCCCAAAACAAAATCTGCATACTCTAATTGCCCCAGATTTGCCTAGAGCTCAGAACAGTCCTAGCCAATTTCCACCCTCACCCAAACCTGGGTCTCTGGGAGCACCTCCCACTGACTCCCGCCCACCCCTGAACTAGAGCCTATGGGTGTGAGCCAGTCTGTGACACAAGACGTTGGGCCCCACCCCAGTGCCAACTTCCTGTCACCTAACTCTTAAAGGGGCCATGACAGCACCTGGATGCCTCTCTAGAAAGGCATGTTCCTGTTTGCATGCTCAGTGCACATGTGTGTACATGTGTGTGTGCCCGTGTGCTCCCCTGCATGAGACCAACAACCTTTACAGTAACTGGTGGCAGTGAAGGCCCCACAAATCTCCAGGTCTCAGCCACAAAGCCTCTGAGTCCAGAAGCCTGGCGTCACCAGGGCCAGAGGGGCTCCAGGCAAGCAGAGTTGTGGGGGCGGGGAGGGGAGGGGAGGGGAAGGACCTCCCACCCCCCACAGCCCCCCCACCCACTGCTGCCCCCACTCCTATACTGGGATGAAGCATGTGGTCTTCACCCAGAGGCAGGTGGGGGTGAGGGGGAGGGCTCCCAGGATCCCTCAGGAAAAACTTAAGAAAGAATGAAATAAAACTCATATATTAAAGCAAGGCAAGAAAAATTTTAACCGAAAATTTTCCTCTGCCCTTTGGGCCTCCCCCCTCCCCTCTAGTGTGCATTCTGCATCTGCAGTATGTTTAACCAACACTCCCCAAGGGCAGAAATACCTGAACCACCATAAAGATGAATTTTCCTTGTGCAAGCCATGTAACTCCTTAGAAGATAACACTACTTACTTACTGAGGACCTGGTTAATGTCAGTATTACCAGTATTCTGCTTATTTTATAAGATTCTTGTTTCTCTTTAACAGAGCTATGATTGAGTCTGTGGTAAAAAATAACAGTGACTAGATTCCTCCAAATGATTCATATAATGTATAGTTTTATAAGATCCATGATTGTAATAGTGTGACTCTAGACACGGGAAGAAGCAACAGGAAGGAACCATTTCCTGTAGGCTGAAGAGACTAGTAAGACAGGTGGGCCAGAGGGTTAAGGCTCATGTTGGACTTCCCTACTGGTTCAGATGGTAAAGAATCTGCCTGCAATGCAGGAGACCCAGGTTCAATCCCTGGGTCAGGAAGATCCCCTGGAGAAGGGAACCCCTCCATCCCCATGACCTCTGCCAGATATGCTGGTGGTGAACATGTTTCTTGTCACAATGTGTTTCCGCCGAAACTTGCCTGTGGTCCAAGTCTCCAGCGATGCTTGTCAGAAACACAAATTTCAGACTTCCCTGGTGGTCCAGTGGTTAAGAATCTGCCTGCAGTCACATGTTCGATCCCTGGTCCAGGAAGATTCCACATGCCTCTGGGCAGCTAAGACCATGGGCCACAACTACTGAGTCTGTGTTCAGCAACAAAAGAAGCCACCGCGGCAAGAAGCCAGCGCACAGCCACTAGTGAGTAGCCACTTCTCAGCGCAACTGGAGAAAGCCCACACAGTGACGAAGACCCACCACAGCCAAAAATAAAATACGTAAATAGATAAAAAGAATTTTAAAAAACCCTGAGGGAATGGGGTGGGGAGGGAAGTGGGGAGGGGGTTCAGGATGGGGAGCACATGTACACCCACGGCTGATTCATGTCAATGTATAGCAAAAAACACCACAATATTGTAAAGTAATTAGCCTCCAATTAAAATAAATTAATTTTTTAAAAAAGAAACACCTGAACTGCTTCCACATGCCCCCATAGTCTGAGGTCTCCCAGACTCCCTTGTTCCTGCACATTCCTTGACTTTCCACTTCTTCAGAGTCTAGCTCAGCAGCCTGAGTGGTCTTGCCCTGTTTGGAGAGCTTGTGTTTCCTTTAGAGAATGCAAAATCCTTTCTGCTGGACATACAGAGAGGCTGACCCTAAGCAAGGGAAGAGGAAGAGGAAGCCCAGAATGAGAGGGAGGAGGATTCTGCGTCCACGGATGGATCCACAGTCACATGTGGTCCTGCCTCCTGTTAAGTGGACCCACAGCTCTGGTCTGGTCCCCCAGGGATGAACCTTGAGTAGTTGGAGAGCCCAAGAAATCTGATATCTAGTTTCAGTTCTGCCACAGGACAAGTCACGACCACAGATGAGGCTTGTCCCCGATCTGAACCTTAGTTTCCCATTTGTAAAATGAGAAAATTGGACTAAAGTGGTGGTTTTTAAGCTGTGTTCTCTGGAGACCTAGGTTTCTGATGAGGCAGTGGGGTTTCAACTAGGTGTTGACCTCACTTAGCACTTTCCTAACTAGAGCAGCCTTGCCTGAATCAATCTCTTACTCAAGATCTCATTCGCAAATAAGATTGGAAAGGTTGAAGACAATACATGTACTCATCTTTAGGATGCTGTTTAATAGGCCAAGGTACAGACAGGAGAGGGAATACTACACAGCTGGAAAAATATAAGGATGCTCTCAAAAATGATCGTAAATATATCTCCAGGATATGTTAAGTAAAAAGGAGTAAGATACAAATTGACATGTGTATGCTATCTTTTATGTAATAAAAAAGGAAAAAATAAAAATAAATACAATTGTATTTGCTCGATTTGTATTAAGAAGCTTGAGAAGGGCTCTGGAGAGTTAGTGGAGCAGCAGTCCTGGAAGGGTAGGGGAGATGAGCGGAGAGTGGATAAAGCCACAGGTAAAACCAGGTTTCTCAATGTGTGGCTTTTTTAGGATATCTTTATTTTGAAACATGCCAATATATTTTTAAGAAAACCAAACTGACGTTTGAAAAAATGTACCAAGTGGAGAAGAAGGGTCAGGGGAAGGATGGTTGGCTGATGGTCCCCATGTTCTCCGCAGCCTTGATGGACAGACTAGGGGAGCTGAGAGATGCCCGCACAGGCCTGTCTCCAAAGGCAGAGGGAAGGGAGGCGACTTGGGTCCAAGGATCTGGGGCAGTGAGGGGCGCTGTGGCCTCCAAGCCAACCTACTTGGTGACCAGGGCCTTCTCCAGCCCTTCAGCACACACATTTGATGGAGAAGCCCCCAGTGCCCAAGCCTCAGCCCCTTCCCTTGCTCTCTGCCTGGCCTGGGCTCGCTGTCTCCCAAGGCAGTGGCCAGAGGCTCCCTCCCCAGCTGGCCAGCCAGTCAAACCTGGGATGGGACTTGTGCTGCCGCAGAAGGAGAAGGGATTTGATTTGTCAGTTCCCTACATGATTGGAAATTTGCAACCATCTTTTCCTCTAATAGTATTCAAGTCTTGGACATATTACTTAATCCCTGTATGACTTTGGCCAAGTTATTCAACCTCCCTGTAACCTCAGCTTCCTCATCACAAAGTGCAGAGTAACAGCCCCTGCTGCACATGAGATCACACACGTGAAGCACCTAGAACGGTGCCTGGTGCCCAGAGGGCCCTGATAAAGGCCGGCCACTGTGTCACGGTCCTGGTGCTGTGCTGGGCTGTGTGACGGGCACTCGCTCAGGGAAGGAGAGGAGCTCTGTCATGTGGGAGAGCTCAAGGAGGAGGATGCTGAGGTCACACGGGAGACCTCTTATTCCAGCATTGGGTAAGAATGGATTCATCCCTCCATCCTTCCTTCCTTCCATCACTCACTGGCAGACACCAGGGCCTGCGGCAAGCTCTGGGAATAATGAGATCACAGTGGAGCAGCCCTGACCCCAAGGATCTCACAGGAGAGTGAGGAGGAGGAGAGAGAAATCCAGCCAGCACGACCGCAGGTGTGTGGGGAGCCAGGTAGGTCAGGGGTCCAGAGGGCCATCAGGAGCGGTTCTTCCTTTATTAGGACCAGTGGTGACGGTGCTGTTCATGGGTCCCCACTTCCCTCAGACCAGTGCTGGGCACCCTGTCTATGGGATCTCAGTCCCCTTCTCAGCCCTTTGATGGAGGAGACCCTGATCTCACAGAGGGACACATAGAGTCAGGTGGGCTGACTGAAGCTGGGGTCTCTCTAGAGCATCAGCCTGCCCTTCCCCATGACTGGGCTTCCTCCCCTGAGAGCTGGCTGTGCAGGAGGCAGGGGCCCAGGGTGGGGGCAGGGCCACAGCACATGCTGTCCTCTGGGGTCTTGACCCTCACCTCAGGGCCACCTTAGGAGGTAAGGGGGGGGGTCTCCCCAGCTTTTCCATCCCCTGGGGCATCCAAGAAGAGGTGGCAAGAATACACAGAAGAACTGTACAAAAAAGATCTTCACGACCCAGATAATCACAATGGTGTCATCACTCACCTAGAGCCAGACATCCTGGAATGTGAAGTCAAGTGGGCCTTAGAAAGCATCACTACGAACAAAGCTAGTGGAGGTGGTGGAATTCCAGTTGAGCTATTTCAAACCCTGAAAGATGATGCTGTGAAAGTGCTGCACTCAATATGCCAACAAATTTGGAAAACTCAGCAGTGGCCACAGGACCGGAAAAGTCAGTTTTCATTCCAATCTCTAAGAAAGGCAACCCCAAAGAATGCTCAAACTACTGCACAATTGCACTCATCTCACACGCTAGTAAAGTAATGCTCAAAATTCTCCAAGCCAGGCTTCAGCAATATGTGAACTGTGAACTTCCAGATGTTCAAGCTGGTTTTAGAAAAGGCCAAGGAACCAGAGATCAAATTGCCAATATCCGCTGGATCATCGAAAAAGCAAGAGTGTTCCAGAAAAACATCTATGTCTGCTTTATTGACTATGCCAAAGCCTTTGACTGTGTGGATCACAATAAACTGTGGAAAATTCTGAAAGAGATGGGAATACCAGACCACCTGACCTGCCTCTTGAGAAATCTGTATGCAGGTCAGGAAGCAACAGTTAGAACTAGACATGGAACAGCAGACTGGTTCCAAATAGGAAAAGGAGTACATCAAGGCTGTATATTGTCACCCTGCTTATTTAACTTCTATACAGAGTACATCATGAGAAACGCTGGGCTGGAAGAAGCACAAGCTGGAATCAAGATTGCCGGGAGAAATATCAATAACCTCAGATATGCAGATGACACCACCATTATGGCAGAGAATGAAGAGGAACTAAAAAGCCTCTTGATGAAAGTGAAAGAGGAGAGTGAAAAAGTTGGCTTAAAGCTCAACATTCAGAAAACTAAGATCATGGCATCTGGTCCCATCACTTCATGGCAAATAGATGGAGAGACAGTGGAAACAGTGACAGACTTTATTTTTTTGGGCTCCAAAACCACTGTGAATGGTGACTGAAGCCATGAAATTAAAAGACTCTTACTCGTTGGAAGGAAAGTTCTGACCAAACTAGACAACATATTAAAAAGCAGAGACATTACTTTGCCAACAAAGGTCCATCTGGTCAAGGCTATGGTTTTTCCAGTGGTCATGTATGGATGTGAGAGTTGGACTGTGAAGAAAGCTGAGCGCTGAAAAATTGATGCTTTTGAACTGTGGTGTTGGAGAAGTTGAGAGTCCCTTGGACTGCAAGGAGATCCAACCAGTCCATCCTAAAGGAGATCAGTCCTGGGTGTTCATTGGAAGGACTGATGCTGAAGCTGAAACTCCAGTACTTTGGCCACCTCATGTGAAGAGTTGACTTATTGGAAAAGACCCTGATGCTGGGAGGGATTGGGGGCAGGAGGAGAAGGGGATGACAGAGGATGAGATGGTTGGATGGCATCACCGACTCGATGGGCATGAGTTTGAGTAAACTCCGGGAGCTGGTGATGGACAGGGAGGCCTGGCGTGCTGCAATTCATGGAGTCACAAAGAGTCGGACACGACTGAGTGACTGAACTGAACTAAACTGGGGCATCCAAGCCCCAGAGTCAGAAGCAGGATATCAGGTTAGAGATTTCCTTTGGGAAAGCTTTTCCTCTGGGAACCCTGGCTCATCTTCTTTCAAGGAAGCCTGAAGTCTTGGAAGGACTGGGAGTCAGGAAGCCTGTGGGTCACCTTCCACGCCAGGCAGCACCACTACCCTGGCTGCCCTGAGCCTCAGCTCAGCAGCTGATGAGGGCATCTAGAGGGTCCCTGGAGCTGCCCTCCTCCATGTTAAAGACCCAGCCCCTCACACCTCCTGCCAGAGGGTCCCTCAGGCTGGTTCTACCTGCAAGTCAGAGAAATGGTCCAAGGGCTCCACCTGGTGGCCAGTCACAGCCAGACAAGCAGCTGCACCCAACATGTTCCAAAGTTAACAATCAGCAGAGGTCTGGACTCCAAAACGTGGGAGACAAGGTAGGGGAGAATCCAGAGAGACTGAGCTGCACTTCCCCCTCCCCTTCCCTAACCAGGCTTTCAGATGTCAGTGGTACAAATGGGAGGCTGCCATTGTAACACAGTCTGAGTGTAAAGCCCTGGAGTTCAGAGTTGGATGGGCCTGGATTTGAATCCCTTTGGCTTTAACCTCACCTGGAGCCCCTCATCCCTGCAGTGGGCCATTGAGGACACATCCAACAGGGTTGTGCCCTCTCTGCAAGAACAGGCAGCCAAGGGACTTGGAGGGCGTGAGGCTGGACCAGTGACCATATTCCCCCTGGTGGTGCTCAGCCCTTAGGCCAATGGCTCATCCTTGGCTGCACAGCACAGTCGCCTGATGCGGGAAGTGCTTCTCAAAGCATGGTCCCTGGATCAGCACAAGATGTCAAGGGGGTACCTGTCGGGAATGCAGATTCCTGGGTTTCCCCCACCCAGCCCTGCTGAATCAGAAACTCTGGAATGGGGTCCAGCAGCCCCTCAGTGATGCTCAAGTACCAGGGTGATTAAAAGGTACCTTATGTGACTTGAATGTCTTACGCATCAGAATCACCTCTGGAGGTCAAAATACTAACAGGTGCCTCCCCCACCCCAACCTCCATATCCAGGGATTCTGGTTCAGTGAAGCTGAAGAGGGACCCAGTCAGAGATTAAAATAACAATTCTGCAGATGATTCTACTGCACAACATTGGAGCTGGGTGTCATCCTCAGGAAAGAGTTCCCCCTTCTGGGCATAAATGCAGCTAGAAAGGCAGGTGGAGATAATTAATTGTATTAATTGTCACATGGACTTCTCAGACTCGCAGATTCAAGACATTAAGGAAACTGACACTCCTTAACACGGACATCCTTTAAGTGATGGGAACACTTGAGCCCCCATCCCAGTTCATGTTGGCTGCCCTTTCAAGTGTTGGGTGGGATCCACCAACACCCGGCTCAGTGAGAAGAAAGAAAAAGAGGAGAATCCAAGGGAGTAGAGAAAATATAGAGCTATTTTATTGCTAAAAATGTATTTTACAAAAGCAAAAGAGTTTTTGTTCTGAAGAGACAAAAGGCCTCTAGTCCTTGGGGAGGGGCTGAACTCCACCAGGCGTGCAGCCCTCACTGCTCTCGAATTCTCCTGGAGATGCGGTAGAGCTCCATGGCTGCCCTGGCGTCTTCCACCGAGTTGTGTCCCAGCACACTGTCCTGCAGACACAGGACAGAGAGGGGACTGGGGGCTGAATCCAGGCACCACGGGACTTGGGCCTTCTCTGCTCACACCCTGAGTCCAGGGCTGAAGTGGGTCAGGGGTGAGTCTCCAAAGCCTCTGATAGAACAGATTCAGCTGGTGGCTGGAGCAGGCCTGGCTTCAAGCAATTCTCACAGGGAGCCCAGGGCCCAGGGAACATAGACATAGGTGTTTACAGAGTGCTCCTTGCTCAGTACATTGAGAACAGGACTCTTCAGTGAATCCAGGAGCTGAAACTCTGTCCTGGGTCCCTGGTGCCATAAGCCCTGCAGAGGGGCCCACACTCAAGCCCATCCCCTGCCTCCTGCACATTCCTGCTCCCCAGAGAAGCTGCCCCCCGCCACTCCTCAGACTGGGGCTGGGGCTCTCCCCTCCTTAGGCCTCCCTCTCCTGCCTCCTGCACCAAGACACACCCTGCACCCTCCACTCGGACTTGTTGTCCTGCCTGCCCCCTGTCCTCTGTCCCTGCTCAGGACACCTGCCCTCCCTGCTGAGATGCATTGATGGACAGGTCATGGGCCTCCCTCCCTTCAACCAAGAGTTTCTCAAGGACCAGCAGGACTTTGCTCACCCTGGTCCTCAGCCTCTGGTCCAGCCTGGCCCTGAGCGGGTGCTTCTTAAACATCCGCTGAGCTCAAGTGGCCACAGCTCCTAGTGTCCAGCCCGCCTCCCTGGGTCCTTCCACCCTGGTAAGCTCCCAGAATAGGCCTGCCCCTGCCTGAGGCTCGGAGTTAGGGCCCCGAGAGCAGCATCAGCTGCAGCCTGATGGGCGCTGTGTGTAAATGATGCGGTTCCCTGGGGACACCCGAGGTCTGTGCTCTACACCGTTTCCCCAGAGGTGGGCTGGAGGGTGAAGCCTCAGTTACCCACAGGGAAACTGGCCTGACTGAAAACAAACTAAATCACCTTGATGGGCTGTCTTCCCTTCCCTGGCCCTCGTCCTCACCCTACAGGTTTCCCGGGTCAGCTCTCAGATGGACGCGGTGCCCGCCCTCCTTCCGGGGAAAGCCCGCGCCTCTCAGAGCACACAGCCTCTCAGGACCACGTTGTGGAGTTGGGGTGAGCAGAGCATCTCTGGGGCCACATATGTGCTCTGGAGGCACTGGGGGACTTTAGAGTCCTGCAGGGAAGGCCAGCCCCCCACCCCACGCCCACCCCGCCAGGTAACGGGGCGACCCTCACCTGGATGCGCCGCCCGAGGAGGCGCTGGCTCAGCACGCGCAGGGAGACCCGCCGGCAATTCTGCAGGCCCGCCTCGCGCCACAGCAGCCGGTCGGCAGCCGTGTCGTAGATGGCGTAGTTGCTCATGTTCTCCTTCAGCGCCTTGAAGTCGTGCTTCAGGTCGTGGCCCACCACCAGCTTGCCCTTCAGCACCTGCAGGATCTGGCCATGAAGACACGGGCCCCACACGTCACCCAGGGCCCTTCCCGGTGGGTCTGGGACAACTCAGTGCCATCAAGGGGGCAGGCCTGGAGCAGCGCCTCCTGGACTTGCTGTGAGCATGAGCAAACCACCGTCCCTCCCTGGGCTTGGGACATATATATCAAGGAGAAAAAGACACTGGAGCAGGCCCTTCATCACCTTCAACAGATTAGTTCTGCCCGAAGGCCTATCCCAGCTTCTTTGGTGGTTGCCTTGGGGGTTTCCCTGGTGGTTCAGACGGTAAAGAACCTGCCTGCTAATGTAGGAGACTGGGTTTGATCCCTGGGTTGGGAAGATCCCCTGGAGAAGAGAATGACAACCCACTCTGCTGTTCTTGCCTGGAGAATCCCATGGACAGAGGAGTCTGGCAGGTTACAGTCCGTGGGGTCACAAAGAGTGGAACACAACTGAGCGACTAATAGTTTACTTTGACTAATAGCAATGCCAGTGGTCCCATGAGCCAGGCACTCACTGATGTTCATCACATACATTATGTTATTTAATCCTTTCAACAACCCTCCTGTTGCAGGTGGAATAATAACCTCCCAGAAATGCCCACTTCCTAATCCCCAGGACCTGTAAACACGTTATATGGCAAAGGGAAATTAAAGTTGCAGATGAACTTCAGGTTGCTAATCGATGACCTTAAAAGAGGGGGAGTTTCTGAGACTTGCCTGGTAGTCCGGTGGTTAAGAATTCAACTGCCAAATGCAGGGGACACGGGTTTGATCCCTAGTCCAGGAACTAAGATCCCATATGCCTCAGGACAACTAAGCCCATGTTCTGCAACTACTGAAGCCTGCTCACCTAGAGCCGGTGCTCTGCAACTAGAGAAGCCACGAAAGTGAGAAGCCCATGCATTACAACTAGAGAGTAACCCCTGCTTTCTGCAACTAGAGAAAGCCCAAACGCAGCAACAAAGACCCAGAGCAACCAAAAATAAAACTAGGGAGAGGCGGTTTTTTTGTTTTTTTTTTGTTTTTTTAGGGAGAGTTTTTGGATGATCCAGAGGGGCCCAGCATAATCCCAAGGTCCTTATATGTGAAGGTCAAAGAGATATGACTTAAGAACTTGATGGGCTGTCTCTGGCTGTGGAGGTAGAGGAAGGGGCCAAGAGTCAGGAACACAAGAAGCCAGGAGCTGGAAAAGACAAGGAAATGAATCCTCCACCAGAGCCTCCTCCGGGGTTTCCCTGGTGGCTCACAGGGTAACAAATCTGCCTGCAATGTGGGAGACCTGGGTTCGAGCCCTGGGTCGGCAAGATTCCCTGGAGAAGGGAATGGCTACCCACTCCAGTATTCTTGCCAGGAGAATTCCATGAACAGAGGAGCCTGGTGGGCTACAATCTATGGGGTCACAAAAAGTCGGACATGACTAGCAGCTAACATACATCGGAGGCTCCAGAAATGAAAACAGCCCTATGGACACTTCAGTCTCAGAAGAATGAGACCCCCATTGGGCTTCTGAACCACAGAACTGTGAGACGATAAATTTGCATTATTTTAAACCACACAGTCTTTGGTTTTGTTATAGCAGCTGTAGAAAACCAATACAGGTATGAGCGAGGGATATATTTAACTGAATTTTGCAGTTGAAAACACTGAACTATCAAGAAATGGAGTAATTTACTCAAGGTGATTCTGATGATTTTAAAATATTTGCAGATTCCTTGACACTCCTCTCAAAAAAGATGGAGCCTAGGACTTCCCTGGTAGTCTAGCAATTAAGAATCTGCCTGCCAATGCAGCGGACATGGGTTTGATCCCTAGTCTGGGAAGATCCCACATACTGCAGAGCAGCTAAGCCCAGGCGCCACAACTGCTGAAGCCAGAGTGCCCAGAGCTCTGCAACGAGAGAAGCCACCACAAGGAGAAATCCGTGCACTGCAACTAGGGAGTAGCCTCTGCTCATCACAACTAGAGAAAGCCCACTTGGGATGCAGGAATGAAGAAGATCCAACTCAGCCAAAAATAAATCAAATTTTTAAAAGAAAGAAAACATGCCATCTGATTCCCTTCACCTTGAATATGAGCCAGGCTGAGTGGTGTCTGACCTCTCGATGGAGCCAGTGTTCCAGGATCCCTGAGTCACCCTGAAACCACCATGCTGGGGAGACCACCCTGAGTTATGGAGTTGTGCCCAAGGAGCCCCAGCCTCATGACAGGTGGGTGAATTCATCCCGTGATTCCAACCCCAGGCCTGCTAGGTGCCTCAGCCACCCAGCTGTCCCTGCCCAAGCCCTGCCCAGATTGCAGATGCGTGGGTGACATAAACATTGACATTGTCTGGAGCCCTTGGTTTTGGGGTGACTTGCTAAGCGGCATTTGATAACTAGGACAGTCACACAGTTAGTTCGTGGCAAGGCCAGCCCTCAAAGCCAGCGGGCTGGCTCCAGTGCCTGCTGGTCACACCACGTTATGTGGAAGAGCCTCCTGCTCCCAGCCTCGGCCAGCCCCCCAGGCAAGCTGCAGGGGGCGACCCTGAGAGTGCCTCAGCCCTGCACATGTGCCCAGGCCACCCCTCTTGCTTCTATTCTTGCCTCCTCTCCCACGGTGGCCAAATAGAGAGCCTCAGTCACTGGCCACACAGAGGGGCCCCCTTTCCTTCCCTCGGCTGCCCCTGGGGAGGACGGGGTCGGGGGGTGCTTGGGGCAAGCTGTCCCAGGTGCCGTCTGGGCAGCAGCTCATGGCCATCTCGGGGCCGCCTTGGACAGCTCTTCAGCAGCCTTCGTCTCTTCCTCTGTGCCCAGGAAGGAACCTCCAGGTAGCTAACACCCTCCCATGCCCTGCTTCTGCTTCTAGTTGCTTCCCCAGACATCAAGCGGGACCTTTGACTTGCTCGCCCTTGTGGCCACTTTGCAGAAGAGAAGCCGAGTCTTCCAGAAGTGAGGTGAGAGACTTCCCTGGTGGTCCAGTAGTTAAGAATCCACCTTGTAATGCAGGGCAAGTGGGTTCGATCCCTGGTTGGGGAGCTAAGATCTCACACACTATGGCACAAATAAGCCAGTGTGTATCAACTAGAGAGACCATGCTCTGCAAGGATAGATCCTGGATGATGCAACAAAAATCCTGCGTGCTGCATCTAAGACGTGATGCAGCCAAATAAGTAAATTTTTTTTTAAAAGTGAGGAGACCTGTCCATAGTCACAGCACTGGAGACAGGGTGGGTCCTTCCTACCATCAGCCCCTCCATTACTGAGGTTTTGTTGGGAATGGTGGCTCAGGCGGTAAAGAGTCTGCCTGAAATGCAGGAGACCTGGGTGTGATCCCTGAGTTGGGAAGATCCCCTGGAGAAGGGAACGGAAACCCACTCCAGTATTCTTGCCTGGGAGAATCCCATGGACAGAGGAGACAATCCATGGGATCACACAGAGTCGATAACAACTGAGGACTAACACTTTTTCCAGACAGACCACCGCCCAACCTAGGGACCAGAGAAAAAGCTCCAAGAATGAGGCTGGGCCACTCCTGAGAGACATCAGTGCTTGTCACACTTGGGCTTAGGGATCAGCTGGTCAACCTCACCAAAATCTGGATTCAACTGCAGGATTCTGCCTTTCTAACAGGTGGTAGGGATGCTGGAGGTCTGTGGGCCTCCTGAGCAATGAGGGCACACGACCTCTGAGCAGAGGCTGGAGGAGAACCCTACGTGAGAGGGAAAGGACTCAGGCAGCATGAAGGGGTGGGGCTTGCGGCCCAGGCTGGGGGATGTGGCTGTGCTGGGTGGCCAGGGCCCACATGCCTTTCTTTGCTGACATCTTTTATGTTTCTGAACAGTGGGGCCTGTTTTCTTGTCTAGGAGATGACTCAGATATAGTTCACACAAAGCCCTGAGAGGGCTGTGACATCCCAGAGTCAACCACAGTAGCCGGTCTCAGGCTAAGTGGGCCAAGTCATCGCAGGATAAATTCCCGGGAAATTCATCACTTCCCGAGCCCAGGGGTCCCCGCGGGAGGGTGGGGGGAGGGCGGGCATGGGTACATTCAGGATCATAAGACTCATCATGAGAGAAATAAAAGATGAAGTGAACAAGAAGTAGAAGGACAAAGAAGCCGAGAAGGGAGGAGACCTGTCTCTTTAGCAGAGAGATGTCAACTCTTCAGGACAAAGATTCTGGGAGTTGCTGTGTGGTCTCAGGGAGGTCAAGCACCATCTCTGGGTTTCAGTTTCCCTCTTTGTAAAGGGAGAGCCTGGAGAGGTGAGCTTCACGGACTTTTTGAGGCAAGGCAGAGAGGGAAATCCAGGGTGGCATGGAGGTGCCAGCTGGCAGGGCCTCAGGGCTGTGTGACCTGCTGGCTGCCGACCTGCCCTGAATCAGGGTAGTGAGGCAAATGTGTCCAATGCACTGGATGAAGGCTCAGGTTCCTGGAAAGAACTGGAGAGGGTGGGGGAAAGGGACATTCATCCATCCGTTCTCATTGCCTGGCTCTGAGTCAGGTACTTTCCTCACTTCATCATGAGGCCTCACAACAAGAATGTTCTTAATGTCAGTTTATAGTGGAGGGGGCTGAGGATCAGAGAGGGTGAGAGGCTTGCCCAGGTTACACAGAGGGTGAGTTGACTGCTGAGATGCCGTGTGTCCAGACCTGCCTAAACCTGTCACTACTATTACAGTTGTTATTATTACCATCTGTTGAGAACCTAGGGATTGTATTAGCATTATTAATTTCAGAGTGGAAATTAATAATGTCTATTTGGAGGAGAATAGATACATGTATGGCCAGGGCTTCCTAGCCCCAGGTGGCTAAGTGGTAAAGAATCTGCCAGCCAGTGCAGGAGATGCAAGAGATGCATGTTCCATCCCTGGGTTGGAAAGGTCCCCTGGATGAGGAAATGGCAACCCAAGCCAGAATTCTTGCCTGGAAAATTCCACAGACAGAGGAGCCTGGAGGGCTATGGTCTGTAAGGTCACAAAGAGTCAGACTTCCCTGAGCGACTGAGTGCACATACACACATATGTAT